ATCGCAGCCCTCCTAGAGAAGCCAAGGCAAGAACTCAAAACGGGCTGGAACCTGGAGGCAGCAGGTGATGGCAAAGCCATGGAGGGGTGCTGCTTACTGACTTGGTCCTCATGGCTTGCTCAGCCTGCTGTCTTGTAGAACTCAGGACCACCGGTCCAGGGCTGACTCCACCCACAATGGGCGGGGCCTCCCACATCAATCATTAACTTTAAAACAAATGTCCTACAGGCTTGCATACAGCCCAGTCTTACCGAGGCATTTTTCTCAATGGAGGTTCCCTGCTCTCAGATGACTCCAACATGTGTCAAGTTGACATAAAAACAAGCCGGCACAATAGCCTAGTTTGGCCAAACTAAATAAATCCATTTCCTTTACTAACGTCTGTTTCCGAAACTCTTTGAAAACATGGAAATTAAAGTGGCAGGTTATGGAGTCCGGTTCCTAGAACACGAATAGACAGAGCAATACACCTATGATAGAAGTGAAATCTCTGGGTTTTCTTCTGGACAATTAAGGGTCTCTAGAAATGTTGATTGGCCTCTGCATTAGGCTCAAAGACATACCACACACTCGACTTCGCACGTCTGCTAGCAATTAAAAATTAAATTGGGCACTTAACACTTCTCATAGAAAACAACCAGGAAAGGGGAAATTCTGGGAGGGTGCTACCAATTTAACTCCTGGAAAGCTTCAGGAACTCAGAGAAACGGAGAACTCTGACTATAGGGTTTGTGGCTCCCAGATCAGTGCTTAGGCCAGTCATTTTCCTAAGCCTGCACAGTTTGAATTGTGTGTCTGTGCTCTCAGCCAAGCTCTTAACTGTTACCCTCAGTGAACCAAAGTGAAGGCGGCCCTCTTGGGGTCTCCAGCAGCCTGTCCAGCTTCACAGATGAGGAAACGAAGCTGGCCGGGGCAAACCGCACACCAGCAACCTGGACTGACCACACATAGGCCTGGGAAGTCGCCCACACTGTTCAGCCCCCGGCAGCCCAGTGATAAGAGGAGGCCATTTTGGAGCCCCATGGCATAAATGGCTGTTGAGGTATGGGGAAAGAGTTGGCAGGGGCTTGGCCATGCAAGTGGCAAAGGGGCTTGACACCTGTGAAATAATATTCCTATTCTCAGGCCCTCTCTCCACCTAATAGTCCTGGTCCTTTCCAAGTGGAACAGTGGACCCACCTCCTTGTCAGTGTGGAAAATGCTTAAATCAAGTCCTTTGTTTCATTCTTTGCTCTACTATCTGACACAGGTCTTTGCAGTGCCTCCCAAACTGGCCTTGAACTCCCAATACTCCTACATCAGCCTCCCAAGTGCTGGGATTAAAGCTATGAGCCCACACTGAAGGCGCTCCGCCACATCCCCCACTGAAGAAGCAAGTCCCTGGTCAGCGTGGTCCCCTATGCTGAGCTTTCTCTGCGCCTTCCTTGGTTTGAACAAGTTCATCTTTGTTTTCATGGCTGTCCTTATCATGGGAGGACAGGGGAAGAGGTCTTTTTACTACTCACAGCTCAGTGAGAGGACACAGAGGAACACGGGTCGAGAGAGAGGGTGAGACTCTCAAACACTTTTTTTTTATTTGAAGTGATAGATAATTGAGTCCCCATCATTCTTCCCACACAGGGAGAAGCAGCTCATCTTTAGTGACACCCCCCCTGGGAATTGGGAACGGTGACCATGGGTACATAATAACTTTCTGTATGCACGACAAGTTATATATGAGGAGAGGAAAAGGCTTTTAGTGTGAGTATGTGTGTGTGTGTGTGTGTGTGTGTGTGTGTGAGAGAGAGAGAGAGAGAGAGAGAGAGTGTGTGAGAGAGAGAGAGAGAGAGAAAGACTGTGTGTGTGTGTGTGTGTATGTGTGTGCGCGCGCTTCAAACTTACTATATAGAGTTGTATGACCTTGACCTTCTAATCCTCCTGTCTCTACTTGCCAAATTCCGGGATTACAGGCATGGCCCATCACACCCTGAGAATCCGGGGCTGTGAGCCTCCAGTGTGTTACCTGCCTGATGATGTATGGGGCGATTTGTGCCTTGACAGAAAAAAATGTTCCTCACCAGCTCTTTGTCAAATTGCTTCTTATTCTAAAGGCGTGCTACAACACTGATTGTATTTGTTCTAGACTGTGTTTCCTATTAACATTACTATTATTTACCCAATAAAGAGCAAATGTCAAGATGCGCCTCATCTTAAATGCCAGCTTCCAGTCCTCACCATGAGACTATAAAAGGAAAGGAAAGTGAAGCAGAGCACAGAAAGAAGAGAATCATGGGAGTGGGCTGGGCCATCCCCTCTGCCTGCAATACTCCCATCTCTCTTCTGTCACTTTTCTGCTCAGACATTACCTTTTACCTTCTCGATTTTTCTAAAATATCATCCCCCTGCCTCCATCCATTGACCCTGGCTTACTGCTTTTCATCCTATTATGTGGGATCTCCTACTAGAGTACGTCAGAGCTGAGTTGTTTTGTTTTCCAGGGCCCACAAGTGTGCTTGCAAAATGTCAGCTGTTTAAAATACTTACTGGGTGGATGCGGCGCACAATAGAGAAGAGGTGGTTTCTGAAGCAGCCTGCCAGCCCTTCCCACAGCCTCCAAGAAGATAAACAGCTTCACACACACACACACACACACACACACACACACACACACACACACACACACACACACCCCTCATCCTCCTTGGTGAGGCTTGCATCCCCGGGAAAGTCTGAGTGGAGAATAGGCATAGCCAATACTGGGTAAAGCAGTCTCTCCTTGCCTTTCTCAGGCTCTAGAGGCCTCTAGGCAAACCTGAGCAGCCTGGAAAGACTGTAGCCATCAAATGGTGACACATACTTTATGTGCCGACCAAGAGGATGTATCATAGGTGTATGGTGCAAGGTGGCAGTGCCATCCTACGTCGGTGAGCTAACTTCAGTACAGCATCTGATTGGCCAGCATCAACTCACTTGGTCAGGAATCACACTCACAGCAGGACTCCAAAGATTGGCTCCTCGAACATTGTGTTCAAAGCCCATTGTCAGGGTGTGTTCATCTGTGGCAGGGAATGAGCACTGGAACAAGAAAAGATCCCAACCCCATGCAGGAATCTCTCCCCATGCTATCCTGAACATTTTTTACCGAAAAAAAAAAAAGAGTTCATTTTAAAAGGGAAGTTTGGACCCATTCCTGCTGATGAGGAGGGGGATAGTTTTAGCTTTCAGTGATTAAATATTGATCATCCCAGAAAGATGCTTTGCCTATAAATCAGGGAGAAAAACTGGGGAGGAAGGAAAAGTAAAAGGCAGAAGAGACCAACTTTGTTCAAACTTAGTGCACACCAGCAGTACTTGGAGTCAAGATGCAGGTAAAATTCAGTACTTTCAAGGAACCATGGCCTCCAAGTTGTTAGCTACCTCTGGACTTTGAAACCTCCAACTGCTGTCTTTGAAGTGGAAGTTGAATACATCCAGGATACACTCTCTGTTCTAGCTCTGCACGCGCAGTATGCTGGCTAGTTGTATGTCAACTTGACATAAGCTAGAATGATCCGAAAGGAGGGAACTTCAATTGAGAAAATGCCTCCATAAGATCCAGCTGTAGAGCATTTTCTCAATTAGTGATTGATGGGGGAGGGCCCAGTCCACTGTGAGTGGTGCCATCTCTGGGCTGCTGGTCCTGGGGTCTATAGAAAGTAGGCTGAGCAAGCCATGAGGAGCAAGCCAGTCAGTAGCACCCCTCTGTGACCTCTTTATTAGCTCCTGCCTCTGGGTTCACGCCCTGTTTGAGTTCTTGTCCTGACTTCCTCCAGTGATGGACTATGATGTGGAAGTGTAAGCCAAATACACCCTTTCCCTCCAAGTTGCTTTTGGTCGTGGTGTTTTACCATAGCAACAGAAACGCTAACTAATACACACAGTAAACTTCCATCTTCTAAAGCTTCTATGCAGCAGGTGCTCTGAGGTCTGTTGATGAGTGGCTCCTGCCTCCAGCTGCAATTAAGTGAGGCAAAGTCCCAGCTGGAGCCTTGCCACTTGGAATGCCTCCAGGACCATCTATATTGTAGCAGTGGTTCTCAGCCTTGCTAATGCTGTGACCCTTTAATAGAGTTCTTCACGTTGTGGAGACTCTCTGACCATAAAATTATTTCATTGCTACTTCATAACTGCCATTTTGATACCATTATGAATTGTGATGTAAGGATCTGATATTTAGGATATTTCATATGCCATTCCCAAAGGGGTTGCTACCCCCAGGCTGAAAAATCACTGCACCGGGGTCTTCTGGGATCTCCTTATGAGGCAGTTTCAGGGTTTGCAGCATGGGAATCTTCATTGGAAAGGGACTCTAAAGTGATATGCCTGCATGTTAACTTTGGGGTCCTCTAGGAAAAAAAGGTGATTTCACTACTAAGTGGCAGGGATTGTGAATTCCTACCTTCTTGGCCCTCCAGAAACTTCAGTTTCTCCAATTTTTGCTTCCCATGGTCAGGGCTGCCTGAACGTTTGGTTCCCACTTCTGTACTTCAAATAGATTCTGTTTGGTTAAGGGCACATTTAACTCCATTGCTTAGCAAGCCAGAGCTGCTGGGGATTTGAGCCCCTCTATGGAACACAGCTGCCTGCCTGGGACATGAAGTACCTGGGCGACAGGAGGAGTGGACTTCTACCCTCCTCCCGAAACTGGCGCTTCTGGTTCTTTTCAACAATAGACTTGGCTCGCACTGAAACCAAGTGAGCCTGAAAACAAAGCAATCCGAGATTTCAGTGGGGCCCCTGGGCTCCTTTTAGTAATCTTAGGCGGAGATGAGAGTTCTTGATTGCAGACAAGGCGTCTAAGCCGCCAGGAAACTGCTAGTACCAAATGCTGAAACTCCCCACGGTGACACCGGAGACAAGCTTTGGTAGGGATATGTACACTTACATTTAAAATCTTTTTATTTATAAATAAGATACATATGTATGGACTTTAGCCAAACGCAACTCAACAGTTGTTTTTTTTTTTTTTTTTTTTTTTTTTTTGTATAAAATATATCTCTGTCCGGGGTGAGGTATCCAGGAACAAACAGAATAGTGTAGTGTCAAGTTCTTCATTCTTCTGGCTTCTGGAAGACAATCTTTTGAATAAGCTCAACCTCCCACACAGAAATAAGGGATTAGAAAAGAAAAATACTACGTAGGCACAAAGAAATATAAATATGAATTGAACAAGTTACTTCACTTCACAAAAGCCATTAAAACCGCTGGCTTCATAGAACATCTTTCAAACACAGTCAGACAGACATATTTTTGGCCCTTTGAGCTCTCTGGAAACTGAAGCAGGGACGGAGAAGAAAACAAACAAACAAACAAAAAAAGCCAAACCACCTCAACAGTGACGTTTATGAAGACTCACGGGTAACTTAGAATACTGTACTTTCAAGGTGGTATACCATTTTAAAGCCTGTTGGCTGGTTGCGGTTTTGTTGTGGTTGCTACTGCGATTAACAGTATGCAAAATGTCACCCACTCTTGTCCCTGCATAAGAAGACCTGATCCCTCGGGAGAAAAGTGAAACTCCTTCAGTGTAAACGAACCCAGCCTAGTATCTGGGGAGGAGTTTGACCCCCGGAAAGGAAGTGTTGCCCTCCAAACGGTAAGGTGTTCAGGGTTCTGGTTGCAGACATCATGGCAACGCACAAACTCAAATCACCTCCAGACCCCAGGCGCAGCTCAGGTAGACGGTGGGTGAGCTGTGTCTACAGGTCGGAGTCACAGGGCAGCGAATTGTGGCAGGGCCGAGTGCTGCGAGAGGAGGAACCGCCTTGGGAGGAGGCGGTCTTCTCTTCTCCTTCAAGCACATCCACCGGGTTGGTGTAGGCCTTGGGCGGCGGCCGTGGCATCGGGAACCCGACCTTGAGCTTGCTGGTGGCCCGGTGCTCCTCGGCGGCGGGAGGAGGCCGATGCTGGCCCCCGCTGTAGTACTTGATGGCCGGTGTGAGCGCGGGCTCCGGCCAGTCCACATAGACGGTGCTGATGCTGCTGCGGCGCGGGCCTGCGGGGGGCGCCTTGCGACAGCGGCGACAGCGCTCTTCGCACCAGGGCGCAAAGCTGAGCGCCAGCGAAAAGCCGCCCAGCAGCAGCAAGCAACTACCGAGGTAGCCCAGCACCAGGCTATAGCTGACTTGCAGGGTGACCGGGCTGTCCGGGGCGGGCAGGACGTTACGGTCCCCCAAGAAGTGGTTGTACCAGGAGACTGGGACGAGGCTGAAGAGGCCGGCGACGAAAAGCACGATGCCCGAGAGGCCCGCTAGCCCGAAGTGGGGCTCATCTTGCCAGCAGCGCACGCCGAGCGACGCCAGCAGCAGCCCCAGGGCGGTGATGGCCAGTGACGTGATCATGAGTCCCCGGGCCCCCTGCACAGGCTGGGTTTGGAAGTAGTTCCATTCGTCGGCCTGGCCGCACTGGCGCTCGCGGCTGCTCTGTTCGCGACATATGTCCCACAGACCCTGGTACAGCACCACGTCCACTGGCTGGTCCAGAAAGCCCTTCAGCTGCCGCCAGCCCGGGGTCAGCGTACTGATGAGATTGAGCAGCAGCCCGCAGGGCGTGAACACCATGCCCAGAGTCATCACCACCGGCGTCCGCATCCTTTCGTCGCTTCGCGGGTCCCCAGCCCCCGGGCCTGCTCAGCAGCGCACCCCGGACCCAGGGTCCCCAAGTCTGCGAGGCTGCCGAGCTGGGGTAGCAGTGATGCTCACTGCGCTCTCTGGACACTCTTTGTCCCCCGCGCGCGGGACTGACCCCACTGAGCCTCTCGCACTGAGTCCCCTCCTCTCCGGCGTCCCGACCGCTCCGCCCTCTCGCCCAGCCGCTGTCCCTAATCGAAACTGGCTCCGAGTCCGGTCAGACCGAAACCGCGCGCCCAGGTGCGGCCCCCGCGGCCAAACCCTACCCCATGGGAGGAGCAGGAGCGGCAGGGCCACCTGGCAAGAGGCGACCTCGGACTCTGAGGACCCGGACACCCCACCCCGGCCAGGCTGCTTCGCCCCGCCCGCTCGAATGGTTTAGGGATCGAGCAAAGGTCGCCCCGCCCTGGCTCCGTGGCGCCGCCCACGCTCTTGTGGGCGGGGCGAAGGGGGCGAGCCTCAGGTGTAACCTCACCTGTCGCCTGGCTGTGCACCTTCCTTGCTTCCCAATCCATCTCTGTTCAGAAAGTTTCACCGCCCCCTCCACACTCACACACCCGACCCCTAGCCTCCTGACTCTGCCCGTGGGCCCTGCCGACTTAAGTCTTCCTCCACTTCCAGCTGGTGACCAGTGTCCCTGGAAAGTTTTGCTCTGCCACTCGCAGCCACTCACGGTAGGGTGGTCCGCTCAGGATGCACAGGAGCGGTGTGCACCGCAGTTTCCAGGCTCGGAGTGTATTTGTATCCAAACAGTTGCACTACGGAAACCTTGCTAGATTTGTTTAATAACGACTCCACGCTCCGCATAAAGTTCGACTCCCAAGAAAGCAAGAGTGTGGATAAGAGTGTGGATGAGATAAGCCAGAGTGTGGATAACTCGATGATTGTTAAGTTCAGGACTTGGCAGACCTATAACGTATTTCGGAAAAGCCATGGTTTTATTTATTCTGAAATGAAGCTTTCAGATAAATGCAAAGGGATGGAATATGCTTGATTATTGCCCAAAGAATGCCAAATAGCTTTTTCTTCAAGAAAAAAGACAAACTTGTAATCAAAGAAATGCAATTAGAAGAAGCACCTTATTCTCCTTGATTAGTAAAAAAAATAAAAGCTTCAAAATCTGTATTGGCAAAGTTAGGAGCCAACCAGTGATCCCTGATGTCATTGATTTAGGGTACAGTTTAAATAAGCCAGTTTGACAGAATACAATGTTTACAACGCACATGTTTAAGTTTCCTTTTTAAAGGTTTACATATGATGAGCATATAATTGCACAGAATAATGAGTTTCATTATGACATCTCATACATGTACATCCTGTGTTTTGCTCATTGAATATCACCTAGTTTGGTCCCAGTTTTCAAATTCATTTTAACTGTCCAATTTGCATATTTATGAAATATTTGCATTTTCCTTTGATTTTCACACTACACTGTTTCCCTCCTTAAATACCATTAAGCATTTCGCACATATTTACTTTACATTTGGGCAAAAGTCATGCTTTTACTTTTAAAATGTTCTTTTACAATATTTTTCCTGTATTCTCTATATTCCTTACAATGGAAATGGTTTTTTTATAATTTGTTATAATTAAAACTATTTAGTAAAATCAGTCACTTTAAGTGCTGTAGTAATTTTGAACATTCTACAGTGGGCCATCCCAGGGATGAGAGGCACTACTTTCAGGGTTTATTTTTTTTAATACATATTTTTAATTAAAAATTTTAAAAGATTATGTTTTTTAAACAATGTGTATGTGTGTTTATGTCATCGTGTGGTGTGTGTATATGTGCACACCAGAGGGTAGACAATGATACTGGATCCCCAGAGCTGTAGCTTGAGGTGGTTGTGAGCCACCAGAAGTGTGTACTGAGAACCATAACCTCATCCTATTCAAGAGCTGTATAAACTATAAGTCTCTTAGCCATCCCCATATTTTAAAAAATTAGATTGTGGCTAAGGGTGCTGCTCCAGTCCGTTTCCTGTAGATGTAATAAAACAACCAAAGCCAACTTGGGAAAGAAAGTGTATATATGGCTTATATGGCTTGTACTTCCACATACATCACAGTTCATTGTTGAAGTAAACCAAGGAAAGAACTGAAAGCGGGAACTTGGAAGCAGGAACTGATTCTTAGTCTTGAGCAGTTTGCTTTCTTGTACAACCCAGGACCACTTTCCCAGGGGTGGCATCATCCACAGTGGGCTGGGCCTTCCTATAATAGTCATTAATCAAGAAATGACCCTCTAGACTTGCCCACAGGCCAATCTGCTGAATACAATTCTTTAAATGAGGCTCCCTCTTCTGGGATGTCTCTAGTTTGTGTCAAGTTGATGGAAAGCCACCAGCATATGGACTGGCTATAAAATTTACTGGCTTACTCATTTTCAGCTGCATAGCTTTGCAGCAAGAAGCACACTCCCATTGTGCAACTCTCGACCCCACCCTGCTCCAGAACTTCTGGACATTTTCAAACTGAAACTGTCTGCAAAACAGTGACAAAGTGCATTCCTCCATCCCTGCAGCCCTCACCCACTACCACTCTACTTTACCTCCACAGACTTAACTAGATACTTCACGCAAATGGAAGTCAGCTCTGCTTGTGGCTAGCTTATTTCACTGAGCAGAATGTTCTCAAGGTTTATGCACGCTGTAACTGTATAGACTGAACACAAGACCACGACATGGTATGGTTAAAGGGAAGTTTTGTTTTGTTTTTATTGTAGATATGAAAGAGAACAGCCAGAGGCATCTGCAAGAGTCCAGAGCAGGCAGAGAAAGTAGTAGACTGAACATGGGCCAGCAGACTGGAACTGACCATGGAGGGTGGGTGGGGAAGACAGAGAGAGTAGGAGGAGTAGAAGACAAAGAGAGAGAGAGAAGAGAGAGAGAGAGAGAGAGAGAGAGAGAGAGAGAGAGAGAGAGAGAGAGAGAGAGAAGAAAAGAGAACATAGCTGGAATAGCAGGATTATAAGGAGAATGAGCAACCGCAGAGAAGGAAACCAAGATCTGGAGAAGTTTAGGGTAGGGGAGGAGGCGAGAAGAGCTGGGATGCTGTAATGGACAGGGAAATGTGTAGCAAGTGTTTGTGATACTGAGGGAGCCTGGAGGCCAGCATCCCCTTTGGTATGCTAACAGGCACCGCAGATAGCCATGTGTCCCTTCTGCCAGTGATAAGGGAAATGGCTTCTTTTGATGGAGGGGGACCAGCTTCCCAATTTTTTGAGGGATGATGGCTTTTGTGTCATTGCCAGAATTGGGGAAATGGAGTTACCATTGGACCCAACAGTGACAGGTATCATCATTCTCCTCTTTTTCAAGGCTGAAAAGGCTGAAGGGTTTCCTGTGGTGTCTGTACCACTTGTGTTCAGCTCATCATATCTCAACAGATTTTGGGTGATTTCAGTGCTTTAGCTGTTGTGAACTGTGCTACGAAGATGAGTGTCTTGACATCTTTTTGAAACCCGGTTTTTAATTCTTCTGAGTTATGTCCACAACATAACTCAGAAGGAATTGCAGCATCATATGGGAAACAATAGCCTCCCTTTACTTTCCCACCTTGGCCATGGGAGTTCTGATTACTCTGACCTTTTTTTTTTTTTTTTAATATATTTCATGTATGTAAGGATGCCACAGTGCATATGTGGAGGCCAGAGGACGACTTTGGGGAGTCAGTTCTCTCTTTGCACCCTTATGTGGGTGCTGGGATTGAACTTGGGTCATCAGGCTCATGCAGCAAGCACCTTCGACTGCTGGGCCATCTTGCCGGATCACTATATTTGGTTTAAATGGATCTTTAGAGAATCCTGTTTCTTCATTTTTCAAAAGTACTTTCGAATTAAAGGACCTTTGAAATTTTTGGCTTTGATGCAAAGAACAAAGATGGGTATGTTGGTGTTTTCCATTGGGGTTTTCACAGGTGTTTCAGAAATAATGGAGAAAGGAGGTGACGTGTTTAAGATGAATGTTGTAGTGCATCCCTGTAATCCCAGGGTTTGGGATGCTGCGGGAGGAGAGCTGTGGATTTGGAGTCAGCCTTCACTGTATGGATCCATATATAAAAATATATATGGAGATGCCAGCCACCGCCAAAGGAGAAGCAGATTCCTGCTGTGGGATGGTCTGTATGTCAAATGTGTTGCTGATTGGTCAATAAATAAATCACTGATTGGTCAGTGGCCAGGCAGGAAGTATAGGCGGGACAAGGAGGAGAATAGAGCTGGGAAGTGGAAGGCTGAGTCAGAGAGACACTGCCAGCCGCCATGATGACAAGCCGCATGTGAAGATGCCGGTAAGCCACGAGCCATGTGGCAAGATATAGATTTATAGAAATGGATTAATTTAAGCTGTAAGAACAGTTAGCAAGAAGCCTGCCACGGCCATACAGTTTGTAACCAATATAAGTCTCTGTGTTTACTTGGTTGGGTCTGAGCAGCTGGGGGACTGGCGGGTGAGAGAGATTTGTCCTGACTGTGGGCCAGGCAGGAAAACTCTAGCTACAGATTCCAGCAGACCAGTAAAGCCACAGAACATGCGGCAAAACATGCCTTTAATCCCAGCACTCAGGAGGCAGAGCCAGGCGGATGTCAGTGAGTTCGAGGCCAGCCTGGTCTACAGAGCAAGATCCAGGAAAGGCGCAAAAACTACACAGAGAAACCCTGTCTTGAAAAAAAAAAATAGATTAATAGAAATGGGTTAATTTAAGATATAAGAGCTAGCTAGCAAGAGGTCTGCCATAGGCCATACAGTTTGTAATTAATATTAAACCTCTGAATGATTATTTTATAAGCGGCTGAGGGACCTCAGGCCCCGTGGGACCTGAGGAATGTGGGACCACAGGGCCGGGTGAGACTGGAGAAACCTTCCGGCTACAAGTTCCTGTCTTGACTTCCTTCAATATAAACAGCAATATGGAAGTGTAAGCCAGATAAACCCTTTCCTCCCCAACTTGCTGTATGGTCATGGTGTTTTTGTCATAGCAATAGAAACCCTAACTAAGACGCTCCCCAATCCCCATGTATCCCCAAACTCTTGAGACAAAAGATTCTCTGGACTAGAAGGGCTGGAGCCATTAGCAGGGCCAGATCCCTAGCTCAGTGGTAGAGTGCTGGCCTAGCATGTCCAAGGCCCCGAGTCGGATCAGTAGTATTGCAAAAATACATTGAAATGGCAAAATCGCAGGTGTTTGCCTGAAAACAAACAACTCCTGGGAAGTGCTCTCCCAGCTGCAACTACCCAGACTAGGTTGTTGTTAGTTAGCTTTTCTGTTGCTATGACAAAATGCCTGAGGAGGAAATGCTTGTTCGCTCATAGTTTCAAAGGTTCCAGTGCACGATAACTTCCTGTTTCCCCAGCTCCGACAGGGCAGTATATAACGATAAAAGGGCATAGCAGAGTTTCGATGCTCATACCGTGGGAAGGAGAAGCGTTGGGGACAAGCTCTATCCTTCAAAGCCATGCCTCCAGTGGTTTACTTCCGCCCGCTAAAGGCCCACATCTGTGTGCTCATTCAGCTATGAACTCAGCAATGGGCTAAGCTATTGAAAAGGTCAGAATCCCCGTGAACCAGATCCGTTCCCCTCTCAGTGGTCAGGATTCAGAGCATCTGCCCGTAACAGAATGCAAATCCAGTGGAGGAAGGCACCCATTGCTGCACTAAAGCCAGACTGGTGAACAGAGAGCGACATGATGGAACTGAGGAAGCTTTTGACAAGAGGGATGTCCATAAGGAGAAGGAACTGTCTGTCACTCACTTTGGGGTTGGGTGGGGCAGAACCTTAACAGCAATGGCTGCTGTGAGAACACTGTAGTCAGAGGTTTTCCTGTGTCCCACCTGGTCCTGCAACCACTCAGAACCAAGTGAACACACAGAGGCTTATATCCATTTCGAATTGCATGGCCATGGCCTATGGCTCAATTTTCTTGCTAGCTAGCTCTTATAACTAAACTCAGCCCATTTCCATTAATCTATATGTTGCCACGTGTTCTGTGGCTTTACCTGTGTGCCATTACATGCTGCTCCCCGGATAACAGGCTGGCATCTCTTCTACCTCTGCATTTCCTCTTCCTGTCTATCTGCTTGTATTTCCCGCCTGCCTCTAAGCTGCCTTGCCATAGGCCAATACAGCTTTATTTATTAACTAATCAGAGCCACACATATTCACAGCATACAGCAAGGCACCCCACAGCAGAACACATATTCAAGAATGCAAAATGGTCATTGGTTCTTTCTACCCAGTAGCTTTTGATTCCTGTCATCCTTCTTCCCATCCCACCTCTCAGCCCTTGTTATTAAATTTAGGACACATAGGAGTCTTGTCATTATGGGAGGTTGTAAATGGCACACCATAAAGTATATGTAAATGGGCTATAAATGACTCTTTTACTTTCTTTTTTTTTTTTATTGCTGTGAAAAAACACCATGACTAAGAGCAACTTCGGGGAGGAAAGTGTTTATTTCATCTTCCACTTTCGGGTCACAGTCCATCATTGACTCAAGGCAGGAACCCAAAGATGGGACTGCGTGCTATTCCACAGGGCATCACCTCTGCGC